ACTGCAGCTCTTGTGGGATGTTCCCAGTATGCAGTGGTCAGGACCAACCAAAAGTGGTCCAAGAAGGGAAAACTGACAAACTGGCAAGAAGGTCATGGGGGATCAAGGTTTATTAATACACGTGGGGAGGCTTTGGGCAATGTTCTGCTGGGAAACCTTGTATCCTGCCATTCATGTGGATGTTACATAGACACAAACCCCCTACGAACCACTGCTGCTGACCAAGTACACCCTTCATGGAAACTGTATTCCCAGATGGCAGTGAATGTGCCCTGACACACTGCAAAGCTGGTTCAAGAATGGTTTGAGGAACACAACAACAAATTTAAGGTGGTAAATGGTCTCCTAATTCTCTTAATCTCAATCCAATCCAGCATCTGGAAAAACAAGTCCCCATCGCGCAATATAAAGGAATTAAAGGTTTTAAAGGGATTATTACCTAAATGCACAAAATATAACTAGGTACTAATATTTATAGATAAAGCAGATCCAGGGGACATCTGCTTGCCTCTTGGGGGACCAGGAAGGAATGTTTCCCCTTCTGGAGCAAATTGTGTCATGCTTTATTAGGGCTTTTTTTGTCTTCCTCTGGATTAACTGTGGGTGTAGGGTTGTGTATATGGAGGTTTTCTATTTGTTTTGTTTTTTTCTTTGGGTTGAACTGGATGGACTTGTGTCTTTTTTCAGCCAGATTAACTACTAATAAAAGGATCTGTTGCTGGGTGTCTGTTGTAGGAGGTCAGCTAAATGGTCGACTGAAAGCCTTCTTAGTTACAGGAACACAAAGCGGTTTAAAACGTCAGCCCAAAAACTGAGATTTAGATGTTAGATGATGAAAAGTTAAAGAGTATCTCAAGTCAACTTTTTTTGGATCAGATTTTAATTTCTATTGGAAGAGAAAATTTTACTACAGTCCTATATTAGCAGAAGAAAAACCACCAACGTTTTGGGGCATGGTGACCCCCTTTATCATGGTGACAAGCTTGTCATCGTGATAAGGGGAGATGCTGTGCCCCTGAAATGTCGGTGTATTTGTTCTGATGACATGGGACTTTAGTCAATTTTCTCCTCTGGATTTACTATTGGAATGCTGGCTGTTGTCTCCTATGGACTTATGCAGCATCACCATATGGAAATCTGTATGGTGTGGTTTGATGTATTGCAGGATTTCATTTCTGCCGGTTTCCCTGTTGAGGCGATTCACCCTATTTGTTCTGGTGACCATTGGGAGAACGGAAAGTGATGGTCCAAAATTTTACAGTTGTCACCAAAACATGAAGTGGAGGTAAATCTTCCAACGGGACTGTCTATTCTGGTGACAATTAAGATTTCCCTTCACTTTGGAGAGATTGCTTGCATTGCCGGTTGTGTCTCCAGTACAGGACGTTAAGGAAAATCTACCCAACAGGATACAAAAACCTATCAGGGTTTTTTTAAACTATTCCCTACTCTTTCAAAAATGTTTTGTTTTAGATACATTTGAAACTAGTTAGTTCCTGAGTCTGCACTCTGGCTGTTGCTATTATGAGGGGAAAACCCAAAACTCCCAGGCAGCCAGGGCCAGAACCAGGAATTACGGCAACTCTCACTGTTGGAGCATTCAAGGCATAGAATAAGCCAGGAGATGACTCGGCCCACCAGGCTCCATTTCTACCTAAAATGTGACTTTTGGTTGGACTGATCTTGTGAATGCCATAATATCTAATCCATATTACCAATGTTGGGGGCAGGCCAAGGCAGTCAACATTTTTTTGGAAAGAAATACTGGCTTTATGTTATCCTTCCTATTATTAAAACTGGCTAATTTTTACTGGGCTACTTAGTTGTTTACCAAAATTTACCCTGGCTGTATTGTGCTGGCAGATCTCATTAGCAGTTGTACACTACCAGATAAAATAGTATCAGGTGTGCATACTTTCTGATCTAACGAAGAGTTAAAGATCTCAGGGCTTGGTTGGTGCATTATATGTTAATGCCCTTAAAAGAAACTGTTGTTCAAAAATGTTCAGTATAGCTTGAAAGCTGCGTATAGAGTCCTGTGTCTAAACTTGCTCCAAAGAAACAACCAGAAAGGTAAGACATTTTTTTAAAATTAATTACAAGTATGCTGTGTGAATGGGAACACAAACAATAATGGGGGTTTAACCAATTCACTGCCACTGACATAGCAGCAAATATTGTTTTATTACTATGCATCAAGAATAATTTTAGATTGCATATATATATACACAACACACACACAAAACAGCCTATTTAACCAATTCAATACCGGGCAATTTTACACCTCCCTGCCCAGGCCAGTTTTCAGTTTTCAGCGCTCTCACACTTTGAATGACAATTGCGTGGTCATACAACATTGTACCCAAACTAAAATTTTATCATTTTCTTCACACAACTAGAACTTTCTTTTGGTGGTATTTAATCATCGCTGGGGTTTTTATTTTTTGCTAAATTAACAAAAAAAGACCAAAAAGTTTGAAAAAAAAAAGTTTTTCTTTGTTTCTGTTATAAAAGTTTGCAAATAAATAAATGTTCTTCATAAATTTAGGCCGAGATGTATTCTGCTACGTCTTTGGTGAAAATAACCCAAATTAGGATGTATTATTTAGTTTGTAGGAAAGTTATAGAGTTCACAAACTATGGTATAGATCTGAATATTGATCAATCCTGAAGTACTGACAGCCAATCTAATTTCTTGAGGTCCAAGGATGTCAGAACAGTACCGATATCCCCCAAATGACCCCTTTTTGCAGAGTAGACAGTCCGACATACTTCATAAGAGGCATGGCGAGTTTTTTGAAGTTGTATTTTTTTTGTCATCATTTTTCGGAAAATGAAAAAATTAAAAAAATTAGTTTCACTATTTTTTTTTTTCTACATATTGTCACCAGTGCAGTACAGCGTCATCATATAACTGGCATGGCGGTGATCAGGGACACTGACTGGTGACAGTATGAAAAAAAAAATATTTTTTTTTTTTATTTTTTTTTATTATTTTTTTTCTTTTAAGATTTTTTTTTCTCCATATATCACTATGACCAAAGTAGTACAATGTTAGCATAGTAACATTGTACTACTTTGGGGAAGTGATCATTATTTATTTATTTATTTTTTACACAATTTGCACAATCTGCGCATGTGTGGGAGGATGCCATATGGCGTCCACCCGGAACGCTGATGACATTTGCCGCCCGCCATTCGGCCATAGGGCGGGCGGCAAATGGTTAATTAGGCCAAGGCATTTTTTCGTTTTATAATAAGTTGGTCATTTGTAAAATAACCATGTAACCATGTTAATGCACAAGGCCAGTCTGTGCCAGACCAAAACTCACATTTTACATAGTAACATATAGTAGTTGATAAGGTTGAATAAAGACACCAATCCATCCAGTCCAACCTGTGTGTGTGTGTTCGTGTGTCTCTACCATTTCCAATATCCCTGTACATTGTGTTCAAACATATCCAAATGTTTTTTTATTTATTTACACTCCCTGCTGACACCATCAACTGTGGAAGGGAGTTCCAAGTTCTTATTGCCCTAACACTTGAGAACCCCTTATGTCACATGTGTCAAACACAAGGCCCGCAGGCCGAATGCAGCCCTCCAGGCCATTTCGTGTGGCCCTCGCACCTCTCCTGCAGTTCTAACCCAGGTGCTTCCCAGAAGCAACACAAGGCAAGGGAGGGAGATGTAAGGGAGTGTGGGGGGCTGTGGACATCTGCTTATAATTATTATGAGAATTTTACAATTCTATGCCAATTGAAAGGAGGGTTGCACACAGGGGTGGACTGACCATTCAAGCACTCGGACACTGCCCGAGGGCCCTGGGTCAGTAGGGGGCCCCATGAAATGCCCTGGTACTTTTTATAGGCTTTTTTTGAGTGTGGGCAAGGACACAGGGGCCCCATGATCCCCTATTGCCCAGGGGCCCCATGAGTTGTCAGTCCGCCCCTGGTTGCACACCACTGGTATCATCTACAAGGCACCTTATTGGAGACTGCTCAGCAAAGCTTTTTTTACCCTCGGAGAATAGGTTCAGGGACTCTCCCCTTCCGAATCCCCCCCATGTCCCCACCCCAACTTACCTCCAAGCACTGTTCCTTGGTTCCACTACCAACCTCCCAGTACTGCCCCTTTTAGAGAATACAGAACAAAGTTTCATTTTGTGGTGGTAATTTGCATGCTGAGTCTGTCAATTTACGAGGACCCCCAGATCTTTTTCCATCTTCGATGCACCCAGAGGTTCTTCTGAACATTAATAAAGCTGAACTCTAGGCAGAGATTAAAAAAAAACAAAGCTTTTATATTATATCCTTTAATTGGCTACTCAGTAGGACTAGGAGAACAACGGTCAACACCTTGAGCCAGTTAGTGGCAAACATCACTTCACAAAGCTTTCACTATAGCTCTGGCATATTGAACTTTGGCAGTCTTTATTTTATTTTTTATTTATTACAGGTACTTATATAGTGCCATCAATTTACACAGCGCTTTACACACACACACATATATATATATTCACATCAGTCCCTAACCCTCAAGGGGCGTACAATCTAAGGTCCCTAACTTACATTCATTCATACAAATACTAGGGCCAATTTAGACAGGAGACAATAAACCTACCAGCATGTCTTTGGAGGGTGGAAGGAAACTGGAGTACCTGGAGGAAACCCACGCAGGCACAGGGAGAACATGCAAACTCCAGGCAGGTGGTGCCGTAATTGGGATTTGAAACAACGACTCGAGTACTGCCAGGCGGAAGTACTAACCATTTAGCCACTGTGCTGCCCTTTCCAAAACTAAACAATCCCAACTCTGGTAGGAGCTTGAGAGTCTGTGTCCTTTCTCTGATTCATTCAGGAGTCTATGTAATCTAATCTCTCTTGCTTTTTAAATTGATTTTACAGCTTAAAGGGTGACTCTGCTTTCATGGGAAAAATAGCAAATAGAACAAAAACAAAATAAATAACAGTGTATACAATTGCTACACAAGTCATATTGTAATTGAATATTATTAACCTCTTCCCGTCTGGCCCATTAATGGCTGAACGGGAGCGCTGCTGATGCGCGAGGACACTTCTAAACGTCCCCTCGCATCCAATGCCTGTGCGCACTTCCCAGGAGCGCGCCGCCATGATCCGGGGACACAGTGGAAAACAGATTGCTGTATGGGACCTCTGTGTGAGGTCCCAATTCATGTGATACCTGATTGGCCACTCAGTGATCACATGAGCAGTAGTAAAAAAGATGTCACTTCCTGACATCATTGCTTACTATGTGTTAAATTTTGTGAATGATCACAGAGGTCACATGGTACAAGGCTATTCACAACAGCCTGGTACCATGTGCAAGCTGTGACCAATCACAGCTCTCAGTATTTCGCAATGGCTTCAGGAATGCAGCCAGAGAGGAGAAATTATTGCTTTTACAGCCTTTATGGGTGTAAAAGCAATCAGTGTAAAAACAGTGTCAGTGGTGACACTGTACTGATAGGGTGACAGTATATATAAAAAAAAAAATAATAATAAAAAATAAAATTAAAATTTAAAAACAAATTTGTTTAAATTATATTTTTTTTTTTTTAGAAACTAATTTTTTCTTTTTTTTAAACAAAAATATAGTTGAATACATTTTGGCCAAGATTTAAGAAAGATTTACAAAACTGTATAAGAAAAATACTTTTTTCTAAATCTTTGGTCTTTCATTTATCAAAAAAAATAAAAATCCTAGTGGTGAATAAATACCACCAAAATAAAGTTTTATTTGTCTAAAAAAAAAATGCTAAAAATGTCATATAGGTACAGTGTTGCATGACCGCGCAATTGTCATTCAAACTGTGATAGCGCTGAAAGCTGAAAATTGGCCTGGGCAGGAAGGGGGTGAAAGTGTCCGGACTTGAAGTGGTTAAAAAGTACCTTTCCTGTTCAAACTGCAGCGCTGTAATTTTCTGTAAAATCCAATGCAACCTGGAGGCCTTTTGTAGACAAATGGCATACAGAACGCTCCCCTCAAATGTAATTTCCTGCTTGTGTGATTGAAATACGTCTGCACTAAGATACGAGTCAGATTTTGGGCATTGCCTGCAACAAAACTGTCATTTTGGTAAGTCCCTCCCAAAGGGAAATCACGTCTAAAGGGATGCAGACCCTGCCACTGTCCTCATTAGAACCCTACAGATGCAGTAGCTGATTGAGAATTATAAAATCACTCCTATACAGATTTGCCCTGCACATGGACACAGACAGCTATTTTTTCAGAACAAAAAGGTAGGAATCTGCAGCAAAGTTTGTTAAAATTCCTTGCAATGCACAAAGATCACCCAGAGGGGAATGGTTTTGTCGTAACAAAAGTCACTCTTAACAAAAAGGAGGAGAAAACGGATTCTGTAGCTTCTGGCTGAAAAACAGAAAAAAATGAGCTATGCATATTAAAGTGGCACTTCACACTCTCAGTCAACATTGAATATTTGTAATCCTTATGCTGCATTAGTAAATAGATAGGAAAGTATATCAGATTCAGGCTAGGTTCTGTGCAGGCGGTGCTGCTGCAGATCTGCATGAAAATCTGTGCAACCGCACTTCCCGCACAGGAGGAATGCAGATCTGCGGGCGGGTGCCATTAGTTCTAATGGCACTCCACCAGCACTGGAAAATGCAACAGAGGTTCCCATGCGGGCTGAGTTTTCAGAATAAGTACAGGGACTTCTTCCCTGCATGTCACGGGGCTCGGGAGTCCATTCAAATGAATGGGCTGTCGTGCCTGTGCAAAACGCGGCCCGCATGGCCGCATATATGTGAACCAGGGCTTACTCATCTTAAAAACTTTTATTTTTACATTTCTTCAGTTCCTTCCTGGTTTCCATGCCTAGGCAAATTATGTTATACATTCCAGGAGTCTTCAAGAGGGGAGGGGGGGTTTTTCTCTGATAAGCACACCTTCCTGCCTGCATGCCTAAGCTAAGGGAAGATGGATTCCAGGAAGTATATGCCACATAAATCAACTCACTTAAAGTGGAGCTCCACCCAAAAGGGAAGTTGCGCTTTAAGGACTTCTCCTCCGCTCCCCATTAAGGATTGGCACCTTTGGGGGGCAGGGGGGAGCGGCTACCCGAATTCACAGATACCCGCTCCCACTTCTGGTCCGATCGCCTAGGCAATCAGAAGGTGTCCTCCCTCCCTCCCTGTAGTATTTTGGGACAGGGGCGGACTGACCATTTGGAAACTCGGGTACTGCCCGAGGGACCGGTGTCAATAGGGGGCCCCATGAGATGCCCCCTGGTACCTTTTTCATAGGTATTTTTGAGTTTGGGCAAGGACACAGGGGCCCCATGATCCCCTATTGCCCAGGGGCCCCATGAGTTGTCAGTCCGCCCCTAGACACGTGACAGGTCCCAGAAGACTACAGGACCATTCATGAAGCGCAGCGCTACTCGCACATGCGCAGTGGATACCTGGCTGTGAAGCCGCAAGCTGTCACAGCCGGGTGCCCACACTGAAGATGCCGACCTCCTGGAATACAGGACAGACGGTGAAAAGAGCTGAGGGGGGGACACCGCGGGACCGAGGGACAGGTAAGTGGCTGTTTTTTAAAAGCCAGCAGCTACAGTTTTTGTAGCTGCTGACTTTTATTGTTTGACAGGTGAGTGGAACTCCACTTTAATATGGACATGGCCAGAAATGCTAGGAGGGTGCTTTCCTAAGTGATTTCTCAGCAAAAAAAGCATGGAGACACGGATGGAAAGGGGGGGGGGGGTTTGCTTTGAATATTGCAAATTAATTAAATAGCAATTTCAATTTGTGGTGCTCAGATGCCATGTAGTTCCGCTTTAAATATCTCATATTGGTTAAAAAGAAATCGTATTTGTAACAAAGTATCCTTTTAGCATTGAACATAAAACAAATCTCTTGGTCCCACCATATAGATCTGTACTGCCTGTGTTTTTATACATTGCTTTCTGTGTGAACATCATGGTGGTCCTGTAAGGCCTCATGCACACTGGACCTTATAAAAATGCCAGTAGCGTTAGCTGTAGAATGCTGCAATAAAAATGGGAGTTTTTTTGTGTTTTTTAGCTTTTCTGCATTCGCTTTTTTCAGCGTTTTTTTTACTGTTTTTCAGCGTTTGAATTTTTTTAGCAAAGATATACTCCCACAAAATTTTCAGGCTCAAAAATGCTCATAAACGCCGGATAGCCGCGTTTTTAGCATCTTTCAGCTTTTATCAGCGTTAGAGCATTTTTACAGCTAAAAACTCCTCTTGAAAGCCCCTAGTCCTGGGTTTTTTCCCAGCCAGAAAACGCTCCTGCCAAAAAAACGCTGATTAAAGCCTGTGTGTGCATGGAGACATAGGGTAACATGCTGGGGAGTTTACTGGCTGCAGAAGACAACACCAGAAGCCAAAAACTGTGAAAATGTCCAGTGTGCATGAGGATTAATGCAGGCCATACATGGGTCGAATTCTGAACGATTTTTCATCGAAAACGTCTTTCGCTCAGTTATCCTATCAATGATTTCGAAAATCGGCCAACCAAGTCATACAGTTCACCCCATAAAACAGGCAAAACTTCTGTTTCAGGTCACGGCTCATGCGCATGTTCTTTTCGGAAAAACGATTGTACAATTTGACCATCATTGAGTCGAAAATTGGTAGTTTTTCATAAATTTTCCAACATGCCCTATCACCAAAAAGGGGAGGAACCACCAAAATCAGCCGATGCCATTGACCCACTAACAGAAAGAAAATCAGCCAATTATTCTTAGGTCCGATTTTTAGACGAAAAATCGGTGAAATTTCGACCCATGTATGGCCGGCATTAGACTCCATGCACACGGGACATTTTAATAACGCTGATAACGTTAGCTGTGTAAATTCACGTTAAAAACAGGAGTTTTTCAGTGTTTTTTAGCGTTTTTGCATTAGCGCTTTGCCACATTTTTTCGCGTTTGTGGTTTTTTTTAGTTTTTATTTTTGCTCAAAAATAATCCAAAAACGCCAGTTTGCTGTGTTTTGACACATTTTTCAGCATTAGAGTGTTTTTACAGCTAAAAAACTCCTCTAGAAACACTAGTCCTGGGTTTTGTTCCAGCCAAAAAACATTGATTCCAGTCTATGTGTACATGGATACATAGGATAACATGCGGGGGGGTTTACTAGCTGTAGAAAAAAATGCCAAAAGCCAAAAACAGCCGCTGTAAGAACATCCCGTGTGCATGAGGACTAAATGAAAGCAGTCCCAAAATTAGATGATGAACAGAGATAAATGTTAAAGTGGTGTTAAACCCAAAACCAAAAATGTATTGTATTGCAGTATACCAATCATTAGATGTGGTGGCTGCTTTAGTTTTCTATTTTTTTTACTCCCCCCCTCCTCTTTTTTTTTCACCTGCTGAGTAACACACACCCCTGAATTAGAGAGTCCCCGCTCTGGATGAAGGACCACAGGGGGCACATTTGGACATCAGCATTGTCAGTCTGGGGGAAAGGGAGTGTCTCATCCCTGTAACTGCTACAGTTTTTTTGAAAAACAGACTTACTGGCTAGATCACCATATGAAAATAGGAGGATTAAAAAAAGAAAAACAATGCAACCATCACATCTATGAATTTGTAAGCTGCAAAACAGTAAATGTTTGCTTTTGGGTTTAATTTCGCTCTGAGCCCGGGTTCACATATATGCATACCAAATGTACAGCTGCAATCACACCGCACACAAATCGCATGCAATTTGTACAGGAATGCGGTGCGGTTACTGTGCAAATCACATGTGCGGTGCGATTGGAGCCGTACATTTTGTATGGCTCTAATCGCACCGCACCCAAAATGTGCAGGACCCCTTTTTTTGGGTCCGCACTAGAATCGGATTGCATGGGTATTCACACCTATGCGATCCGATTCTGCACATCGCACTGTGTTTTGCAGACCGCTTTGCAGACTGCTGCGAATTCTGCACCGCATCAGTGTGAACCTGGCTAAAGCCTATGTGTGCATAGACACATAGGATAACATGCTGGGGAGTTTACGGACTGTAGAAAAAAATGCCAAAAGCCAAAAACAGCTGCTGTAAAAACGTCCCGTGTGCATGAGGACTAAATGAAAGCAGTCCCAAAGTTAGATGGTGAACAGAGAAAAAAAACTCAAAACCAAAAATGTATTGTACTGCAGTATACCAATCATTAGATGTGGTGGCTGCTTTAGTTTTCTATTTTTTAGGCATTTTTTCTCTCCTCTTTTTCACCTGCTGAATAACACACCCCCTGAATTAGAGAGTCCCCACTCTGGATGAAGGACCACAGGAGGCACATTGCTAGATTGTAAGCTCCAAGGAGCAGGGCCCTCAAATCCCTCTTGTATTGAACTGTATTGTTGCTGTATTGTCTCCCGTTATATTGTAAAGCGCTGAGCAAACTGTTGTCGCTATATAAATCCTGTATAATAATAATAATATATAATTTGGACAGCATTCCCACCTATGCGATCTGATTCTGCACATCGCACCGCGTTTTGCAGACTGCTTTCGGGGTGTTGTTAACATACACACCCGCAGCGGTTCGCATGAACGTGGTGCGATTCTGATGCGGTGCGGAATTCACACTGAAAACGCTGCCAATTCTGCACCGCATCAGTGTGAACCCGGGCTAAGTACAGCAAGGGCAGCACAGTGGCTAAATGGTTAGCACATCCGCCTGGCAGTACTCGGGTTGTTGGTTCAAATCCCAACCACGGCACCACCTGCCGGGAGTTTGCATGTTCTCCCTGTGCCTGCGTGGGTTTCCTCCAATTACTCTGGTTTCCTCCCACATTGCAAAGACATGCTGGTAGGGTAATTGTCTCCTGTCTAAATTGTCCCTAGTATGTGTATGTATGAATGTGAGTTAGGGGCCTTAGATTGTACACCCCTTGAGGGTTAGGGACTGATGTGAATGTACAATATATATGTAAAGCATTGCGTAAATTGACGGCGCTATATAAGTACCTGAAATAAATAAATATGAGTTTGTTTATATGGGGTAAAATATCATGAGCGGTGTGGTTTGTATTTATTACATTTACCAGCGTTCCCTTATTGAAGAACAATGGCGCTCTCAGAGATTATTTCCGATTGGCTGCTACGGCTTACAGACCATCACGGTGGTTCCCTGCCCTTCGTAATTAAACAGGACTGATTATCTTCACACCAAGCCTCTATCCCACAATGCCTGTCCCCCCCACCCCACCCCCCCAACCATCTTCCTCTTTACCAGCACAAAATAAACCTTCTGTTTCGCTAAAGGCCTTGTGCATTTCAGCCTCGTCCATGCAGCATTTGTCTATATGTCAGCACTAATTAACACAACACGTTGAGATCATCTTCAACATTAAGGCGAAGCAGAGTCCGGGGGTTTTTCGCTGAACGCCGGCCCAACCTAGAGATTATGCTAAATCGCTTCATTCACAGTCCGGGCTCCTCCGCACATGTCAGGAGGACAGCATTGTTCCCTCCAGTGATAAACAAATTATACATGAAATCAATTCCACTTCACAACCATTTTTCCCTATTGGGTATTATCTTTCCTCTCCTGCTCCCTCTAGTTACGTCTGCATCCTGCAACTTGCTAATGAGCTGGGGGCTTTTTCGGTTCCAGGTGGCACCCCCCGCCTGGAAGTCATGACATTTCCCCATTTCGAATGCTGCTGGCATTTTTCGACAGCTCTTGCTAACTAGCCTCTTTGACCCGCGCTAAGAAGAGCTCATCGGATCGAATCTTCTGACCTGCCAATCATTCCGCCAAATGATCTTCACATTCACTCCCAAGGCAGAATAGAAAAAGGGAGAGCCAGCGAGAGAGAGCGCTAGAGAAAGAGAAGAAATATGAAGTAGGATATCTCGCTGCCTTCTATCTAATGAGAATACTTTAGTCTCTGAAGGCAGCTGATGCGCTGGAAAAAAAAAAAAGAAAAAAAAAAAAAGCTGGTGGGAAAATTAGGACGGTTCTCCAACGCCTGGGCTCCATAATTAAGATTCCTTCCCAAAACACAAATAATGCTGAAACTAACACCTTAGAGAGGTCTTTTTATTTCTTCTTTTATTTTTTTTTTCTTATTTTATTAAACATCAGCACCTTTGTTCTATATAAACAAAAAAAAAAAAAAAAAAAAAAAAAGAAAAAGAAAAACAGATCTGCTTTTTTTTTTGTGTGTGTGCTGATAAACAAGGATTTTATAATACCGTTGTGATCCCGAGCAAAATCCCTAAGGAGTCGCACGCGGTTTGGTAATTAATTTCTACCAATTTATGCTAGCATATTTTACATAGATAAAACGTGTATTACAAAATGACAGTGAGGTAGGCTGAGGAATATATCACCGCAAACAGCTGTCTCGCTTTCATAAGAAAGAGAGAATTTCTCTGTATATAAAAGAACAGGATAGAGGCTGGCTGTAAATATGGAAGAGAAGGGTTATTTTATTTTTTTTAATGTTTTTTTTTCTCCCCCCTATATATTTCTTTTTTGGCAGATGCTGCCACACATATCATTTCGGCACCATGACAACAGCATACAAAATATTCTGGGCGCAGGGATGGAATTTTTCAGCAGCAGTACTGAGATGGAGTATGAAAACTAAGTACTGGAGGTTATGAAAGCTGATTTCACATGATCAATTCTTACAAACTTAAAGAATTTTGGCACTAGGGTTCTGGAAACATTGAATTAAAAGGGTTGATTTAAAATATCAAACGAAAATATCTATGTAACAAAATTGTGGTTTAAAGCAAACCTGTTACAAACATTATGAACATTACAGTATAAACATATTTTTAATATGCAGTAAATAAGCTTGAAATAAAAAAATAGCCTCTGTAGATGCTGGCACTGTGGAACAATTTATCCTCAATATCCAATGAAAATGCTTATGTAAAAAATAAATAAATGGAGGTTTAAAGTGAACCTCTAACCAGACTATGAGCATTACATTCTAAACATTTTTAATATGCAGTAAATAAGCTTGAAATAAAAAAGAGAGCCTCTGTAGATGCTGGCACTGTGGAACAATTTATCCTCAATATCCAATGAAAATGCTTATGTAAGAAAAAAATAAATGGAGGTTTAAAGTGAACCTCTAACCAGACTATGAGCATTACATTATAAACATATTTTTAAAATGCAGTAAATATGCAGTATATATGCTTGAAATTAAATACTAATCTCTGTAGATGCTGGCACTGTGGAACAATTCATTCTCAATAACAAATGAAAATATTTAAGGAACAGAAAAAAAAAAAGAAATGGAGGTTTAAAAGTGAACCTCTAACCAAACTATGGGCAATAATGTATTAACATATTCTTAAGATGCCATAAATAACCTTTAATTCAAATTATCAGCTTCTGGAGATGCAGGCACTGTGGAACAATTCATCCTCAATATCAAGGAAAATATTTATGTAAAAAAAAATGGAGGTTTGAAAGTGATCCTTTAACCAGACTATGTGCATTAAAGTATTAACATATTATTAAAGATGCAGTAAATAGGTTTAAATCAAGCTTCCAGCCTTTGTAGATGCAAGCACTGTGGAACAATCCATTCCTAATATCAAATGAAAATATCTATGTTAAAAATGGAGGTTTAAAAGTGAACCTTTAACCAGACTATGGGCATTAAAGTAGTAACATATTCTAAAGCTGCAGTAAATAACCTTTAATTCAAATCACCAGCCTCTGAAGATGCAGGCATTGTGGGACAATCTTCTAAAATACCAAATGAAAATATATATGTGAAAACAAAATGGAGGTATAATGTGATCCTGTAACTATGGGCATTACAGTATTAACATTCTTAAAATGCAGTAATATGCTTCAAATGCTTTAAATCAAGTCACTAGTCTCTGTAGATGGAGCGGCTTCAGAATAGGTAAGTAGGGCCGGGACAAGGGGTGCGTGGAAAGAGAAGCTGCCCTGGGTGCAGTGGTATCATGTGAGGTGGGGGGGGGCACTATATAGCCAGTTCCTACCTACAATCTGACAGGAGTAGCGACGGCAGCTTCACTACTCCTGTCAGCTTAGCTCTGGAGGAGACTAGCCAAATCTGGAGAGGAAGAGAGAGCTGGGAGCAGGGACTGGTTCTACTCTCTCTCCCCTCCAGCTCCTCATCTGGTCACTGCAGCTCTCCTGGATCGGGACTGGTGGATCGCCCCTGTGCAGCATTTGTTTACCCTCCCCCATCTTCTCCAGCAGAGAATGTGGGTGGGAAAGCAAACACCGCACAGTGGCAATCTGAAAGCCAGTGGCATCTCTACTATGGGGCCCCGACGCTGAGATCCTATAGCCCTCTATAGCCCCCTATAGTGCTTGAATTTTATTGGGGGGGGGGGGGGGAGGAGATTTTTTTCGACACACAATGCTCATACATTTTGGGGGGAGCCTTTTGGCATCTTCGCCCAAGGTCCTAGATGACTTTGTCACGGCACTGTAGGTAAGCCCACATGGAAGAAAAATATATTTGAAATATATTCTTCCCATTGAAATGCTACAATTTTGGCCATATTCAATATATTTCAATAAAAAAAAGTTATATATATATATATATATATATATATATATATACACACACACACATACTGCATGTTTAAATGTGTTTTTATTATAAAGTATATGAAAAATATTTTTAAAATACATTTCAAATATACTGTATGTCTTTAACCGCCTTCCGCCCGCCCTATAGTCCAATGACGGGCACAAGGTGGTTCTCTCGTTCTGATAGGACGTCATATGACATCCTACCATTCTCACTGCGCATGCGCGGCTCAGGGAGCGCACAGCGCGGCGATCGCCGGTCTGCTGTGTCCCTCGGACACAGCGGATCACGGAAAGAGCCGAAGATGTCGGCTCGGTCATGTGTTCAGCTGTGTCCAATCACAGCTGATCACATGTAAACACAGAAATGCCGGTTATCGACATTTCTCTCCTCTCAAGCTGTCATGCTGACAGCTCGAAAGGAGAGGAGAGCCGGTAATCGGCTTTCCGCGGAGGGGACATGTAGACTGATCATCAGGGCACTGATGATCAGTGTGGCCCCAGAAGTGGCACCTGTCAGTGCTCATCAGTGCCAGTGCCCATCAGCACCACATCAATGTCACATAACAGTGCATACCAGTGCACAACAATGCCACATATCAGTGCCCATCTGAGCTTCCTTTCAATGTCACCCATCAGTGCCAGTCAGTGCCACCTATCAATGCCAATCAGTGCCGCCAATCAGTGCTGCCAATCAGTGCCAGTCAGTGCTGCCTATCAGTGCCATGTATCAGTGCCACCTATCAGTGTCATGTATCAGTGCTGCCTTTCAGTGCCCATCAGTGATTCCTGTCAATGCCCATTAGTGCAACCTACCAGTGCTTCCTCATCAGTGCCACCTATCAGTGTCCATCAGTGCAGCCTATCAGTGCCCATCACTGCAGCCTCATTAGCGCACATCAGTGAAGGAAAAAAATCACTTATTTACAAAATTGTATAGCAAAAACTAAGAAAAAACTTTTTTTTTTCAAACTTTTCAGTGGTTTTTGGTTTAAGAAAAAATAAAAATCCCAGAGGTGATTAAATACCACCAAAAGAAAGCTCTATCTGTCTCAAAAAAAATGATAAAAATGTCATATGGGTACAATGTTGCATGACAGCGCAATTGTCATTCAAAATGTGACAGCGCTGAAAGCTGGAAATTGGCCTGGGCAGGAAGGGGGTATAAGTGCCCTGTAGGCTAGTGGTTAAAAATACACATCTACATTTTTGGAATGCATTTGCAAGTATATGTAAAAATATTTTAAAATTACTTTGTTAAAAAAAAATCTGAAGAATGTATTTTAAAAAAATATATATATATTTTTAAAAATATATTCTTCAGATTTTTTTTAACATATAAAAAATTAATTTAAAACATACATTTTTATATATATTTTACATACAGTATATTTGAAAATTATTTTTAAAAATATGTTTCATATATTTTGTAATAAAAAACACATTTCAATAATAGCAGTGTGTTGAAAAAAGTGAATAAAGCTCAAAATCCTTCTAATAGCTTTTATTTCCATACACACAAATGCATTGGGAACACGACACATTCTATTCCAAATCAAAACATGAAGAAAAATATATCAAATTTGTGTTGTTCCTCTAAAAAAATTGAAGAAAAGTGAATATTAGACTGTTCAAAAAAAATAGCAGTGTTTATATTCTTCTTTACAAACTCAAACATTCACTATATAAACTGAAAAAGGTTTGAAGACTTTGCTTTCCTTTGAATCACTTAATGAATATTTAGTTGTAGTCGCACGGTTTCTGAGAACTGCTGTACATCTGTGTTGCATGGAGTCACCCAACTTCTGGTACCTGTGAACAGGTATTCCAGCCCAGGATGATTGGACTACATTCCACAGTTCTTCTCTATTTCTTGGTTTTGCCTCAGAAACTGCATTTTTGATGTCACCCCACAAGTTTTCTATTGGATTAAGATCCGGGGATTGGGCTGGCCACTCCATAACGTCAATCTTGCTGGTCTGGAACCAAGATGTTGCACGTTTACTGGTGTGTTTGGGGTCATTGTCTGGTTGGAACACCCATTTCAAGGGCATTTCCTCTTCAGCATAAGGCAGCATGACCTCTTCAAGTATTCTGATGTATTCAAACTGATCCATGATCCCTGGTATGCGATAAATAGGCCCAACACCAGAGTATGAGAAACATCCCCATATCATGATGCTTGCACCACCATGCTTCACTGTCTTCACAGTGTACTGTGGCTTGAATTCAGTGTTTGGGGGTCGTCTGACAAACTGTCTCCGGCCACTAGACCCAAAAAGAACAATCTTACTTTCATCAGTCCACAAAATGTTGCGCCATTTCTCTTTAGGCCAGTCAATGTGCTCTTTGGCAAATTGTAACCTCTTCAGCACGTCTTTTTTTTCAACAGTGGGACTTTGCGGGGGCTTCTTGCAGATAGCTTGGCTTCACATAGGCATCTTCTAATTGTAACAGTCCTCACAGGGAACTTTACACCTTCTTTCATCTTCCTGGAGCTGATTGTTGGCTGAGTCCTTGCCATTTTGGCTATTCTTCTATCCATTCGAATGGTAGTTTTTCACTTTCTTCCACGTCTTTCAGGTTTTGGTTGCCATTTTAAAGCATTTGCGATTATTTTAGCTGAGCAGCCTATCATTTTCTGCACTTCTTTATATGTTTTCCCCTCTCTAATCAACTTTTTATTCAAGGTACGCTATTCTTCTGAACAATGTCTGGAACGACCCATTTTCCTCAGAATTTCAGAGAGAAATGCACTGTAACCAGCATGTACAACATTTGCTGCCTTCCTTCCTTAAATAAGGGGCAATAATTGCCACCTGTTTTTCAAAGAATGAATGACCTCACTAATAGAACTCCACACTGCTATTATTTTGAACATGCCCCTTTCAATTAGTGATTCAATTACACAGAATCAGCAGCATGCATGTCATGACTGTTGGGTCTGTTGGATTTCTATTACTCTACTACACCTGCTAGTAAATTATTTGCCATGTAGAAATATCATTTCTACCAAAAACAGTGATTGATCCGGTTAGTGATGTCTGACTGCTATTACTTTGAACAAAACTGTATATGGACCTACCTGTATTTTCTAAAAGCTTTTACAGGTCATCAGTTTAGAGTTAACAGTGAATGATTTTCCAAGAATTACTACTTTCACTCCAGCAAAACGTGGCAATATGTAGCATGTAGCGCAATCACCATTTTTGTACATAGCTGCACCCAACTCGTATGTGTGCGAAAGTGTGTGTGTGTGCGTGCATGTGTGTGTGTGTGGGGGGGCTTTAAATAATTTTTTTCTATAATTTTTTGTCACTTTGTTCTCTAACTGGCAGAGGTGGAGATTGTAACATACTTCCTTTGAATCTCCTCCTCTACTAATTATTGTTTAAAATACCAGGCAGTTCTCAATGGCTGAGGTCCCGCTTAACTAACGCTTTCTTTCCAGCAGAATAGAGAAAATGTCTTGTGCAGGAAGATAGCAACGCTTACTGTATGTACCAGCTACTACTGTGTAGTACAGCATCAGTAGCAATCGGACCATGCTACAGTGGCAAGCATTCATTTTAACCAAGCTGGCCCAAACAATCTATTTAAAGCAGAAGGGGAATTCCACTTTTTGCCTTCACCCACTTCTGGAAACTTTTTTTTTTTTTTGAGGAGCGGGTACCTGGTTTTGACAGGTACCCGCTCCCCACTTCCACCCGTATCACCTAGCAGAAGTTCACCCCCTCCTCTTTCCCTGAAGCCTTCTGGAACATGTCACAGGTTCCAGAAGAATACGGGGCTGTTTCACAATGTGGCTTTTCGCATGCGCAGCAGAAAGCCAGCGGTGAAGCCTTGCAGCTTAGTTAACATACTGGTGCCGGGAACCCGAAGACTGGTTTAGAATCGGGCCAGGTGAGAATATCACTGCATCCCTGGACAGGTGAGTGTTTTCTTATTAAAAGTCAGTAGATACAGTATTTGTAGCTGCGGACTTAATTTTTTTTTGGGGGGAGACTGAGGCTGCATTCATACTTGAGCGTTTTTCAGCTCAAACCTTAACACTCAAAAACATTCAACAAGTAAAATCCCATTATTTCCAATAGCCCCTGTTCATACTTGAGTGTTCTGTCACCTGTAGCAAAAACGCCTGTCGCTCACAAAAATACTTGCGCTACTTTTAAAGGCACATCTGAGCGTCCCCATAGACTTGAGGCGTTTTCAGCTCAAACAGCAGCTATTTCTATTGGCCGCAGCAAAAATGCCTAAATGAAAAACACCTATAATATTTGCAAATCTACTCAAAGAAACGCTCAAAGATGCCTTAAAAAAACGCTTGAAAAAGGAATAAGCCCAATATATAGGCATTCATATGGGGGTAGCTGCAGCCAGCACTGAAGCCACCAATATGGCTTTACTGTAACTATGCTACTTTAAGCCACGCCCAATATTCAGTGCAGCATAGCCACACCTACTTGCTGCACTGTGTATAATAAACAGTTTTTGTTTTTTTTTTTTTTTAATTAAAATGCTGTTTTCATCTTCTGCATTTCATTTCTCTGGACCACCTTCCTGATTTTGAAGAACTGGATGATGTACTGCATGTAAAGTGTGTCAGCATGACCATTTGTAGTCCTCAGTGGTGCATGAGATATGGTGAATTCCTGGATCCCCAGGAATTCCTATAATGAACGATGCAGATTTAAAAAGACCAACAGCAGCTTTTTATTTACATATTAAAGCCTATATATGATTAAAGGATTGGATCTAGGTCTTAAAAGCTGAACTTCAGCTATAGCAAAAAATTAATCTTGCAGTGGGCCTTGTTCATTTAGGCTAGGGCAGTGGTCTCCAAACTGTGACGCATGGACCACATGTGGCCATTTGCTTGCCTTTATCCGGCCCTTGGAGCACTCTTGCTCCCAATTATACCAGGCACTATTCCTTCCACTGACACAAACAATGAGACACGATTCCTTTTGCTGGCACCAGCAGTGGGGCATTATTTCTCCCATTGACACAGACACTATTTGTATAGATAAACATTCATATGGTGACAATCCATGCGCCCACTATGGCGGTACTTCATTGCTTGTGCTTTTAAAGGTGGTGTAAGAATACGCACTCACCAGATGCACTCACCGGTTGCTGACTGACCAGAGGAGGGGGCGGGGCAGGAAGTGGAATACTTTGAATTACTACACTACGGGCACCTTTTTTTATGTCTCCCTTGTGGAGTCATTGATTCCCCAGAACCCACCCCGAATCAAGATCCACCATACTATACAGAGGAGGGAGTTTCTGCTACACAGGCTGTTACACCCACTCATCCCTTAAAGTGGACCTCTGGTGACTGGATCAATATACCACCAAGAAGTGCCTGACGTACCACCTATCCAGAGGGGGGTAGCTCCATACCTGGCTTAATCCGCTACCTTAAAGGGGACCTCAGATGATTGATCTATATGCGTAATATCTTTACGCATCTGGTGAGTGTGTATTCTTACACCACCTTTAAAAGCACAAGCACTGAAGTACCGCCATAGTGGGCACTCTACGCACGGATTGTCACCATATGAATGTTTATCTACACAGACCTTATCATCATTTGTCTACCTATTTATAGCGCTGCAATTTACTTATTTGATTGGACTGAGCTTTTATTTGGTTACCTTGCTGATACTGAAAGCGCTCACTTTGTTTTATATATTTATAATGAGACAGTTCCACTTCCACTAATACCAACACTGGGACCCTATTCCTTCCATTAATACCAATGAGCACTATTCCTCATCCTATTGACTACACAAGCTATGTAATGTTTTTTAGTCGCACTGACCACCAAGATTGAGATATGATTTACTCCCACTGGCCACAGTCCAACCCCCCCCAAAGTCTGAAGGGAAGTTCCTACAAATATATGTTGCGCTCCTAAATACTTCTCAATAAATAGTAATTAAATTATTACCATTAAATTAATTCAAATTATGATACAAATAACTAATAAAAGTGTATAA